TCAGCATTCAGCAAATACGTCATTAAATATCATTTATTCAGGAGGAGAGTTCTGCTTCACTGAAGACACGTGATCGTAAATTCGTGATTTCAAATTATGCTGCGCTTTATGCATTTGCTCACTGCTATATTCATGTAATTTTCACTGTGTGCTGTATGCAAAATGAGTGTTACCTTGGCTTTATTTGAAAAAATTTGATTCCCAATGCACACAAACTTCCCAGAATACTGAGTGCCCTGTACAGTGTTTACTTCCTTTTTAATTATATTTTTATTAAATATTTATTTATTTGTGAAAAATACTTTGTCATCTTAAGTATAAGTATGTTTATTTTACAAATTTATTTTTTAATCCATTTTCAAATTATTTCAAATTTCTTGAATATTAATTAAAATAAATAAAATTATATCGGCTTTTTATCGGCCATCGGCCACCCTGCTTTCCAAGATATCGGCATCGGCTGTCAAAAAACACACATCGGTCAACCACTATTACGATATTCATTTCATACCATTAATATGCAAAAATGCATTCTACATGTTTGTTAGACCTTGAAAATGAATGTAAACTTCACGGAGTCCGCTAACTTTTAATTTAGGGCTCCATGAAATTAGTTTTATTTTTATTTATGAATTATTTATTTACTTTTTAAGTTTTCCGTTTTATTTATCCTGGATTCTGTGTTTTATGTTTTAACATGAATTTTTCATCGAAAATGGTGTCTAGAGAAATTAGTTCTTTAGACTTTAGCAATTTAATGACGCTTTTAAAATGTAATCACATGAAATAAAATATAACAATTTACAATAAATAAAATACTATTATTGAATTTTTAGTTTTTTGTCAAAAAAGGTTCTGCACAACTTGTATAAATTAAAACAGATAAAAAAATCTTGGTTTTATGATATTTTGTATAATAATAATAATAATATTCAATTTATTAAAACATAACAACTATTATTGTTGTTGTTGTTGTTATTATCATCAACAACAGTTTTAATTTCTACTGTATGCAAGCTCTATTGTACCACACCTTATTAATAATAATAAATTAATGTAACATGTAATTTAATTATTGTTATTATTATTATGAACATCATAAGATATTTTTCATCTGTTTAAATTTATATGGTATATAAGTTCTGTTGCACAGCACTTAGGCCATTTTATAATAATAATAATAATGTACATTTTTAACAAATTGTATTATTATTGGTATTATTATTGTTATTATTAGGAATATCATAAAGATATTTTTCATCCAATTTAATTTATACAGTGTAAAGTATTTTCGCAGCACCTCATTTTATGATAACAATATTAAAAATAATTGTAAATATTGTAAATTGTTTAATTATATTATTATTATTATTGCTTTGAGAAGTACTTTTTGCTTTACAGTAGGGTTGTGACGGTGAGAAAATTTTCCCACCGGTTAATCGACATGTGACAACACCGATAATACCGGTATCACCGCGGGGCGTGGCCGTTACCTCTTTTCCTCGCTTTCCTTCTCTTTTAAATAGCTTGTAAAGGCGTGCACATTTTACTTTCACTTTCAAATAGTGGCAATTCGGTGTCAATTGCTTAAACGCAACAACAAAATACAACGTCAAACTCACTTTAGCCTGTATATAAAACATAGAACTTTTATTAACAAAACGAATAAAAATACACCATCCTATAGGGCAGGCTATGCCTAATATAAAATAACAAATAACTTACATAGTTTAAATAGGTATACAAAACTGGAAATAAGTAAATGTATAATATATAACCATATAAATAAGAAACGTAGAACGTTTATTAGCAAAACGAATAAGAAAGCTTGGAGGCACGGCATACACATTTATGTCAAATAAAATAAATAAATTACACAAAGTTTAAATAAAGTAAAAATCTGCAAACAATGTGGAACCAATTAAATAAGAAACGAATGTTTAAAAAAAATTCCAAAATCACCTTAGATAAACGGCAAAAGTCAACAGGCTTTTCAAAATCCAAAATACTGCCAAACAGGCGCTTTTGCATTTAGTTTCGAAACTAAATCATCCGCCATCGTCTTGTCTGTCTCACCTCACCTCACTCTTCTTGTCAGTCAGCTCGACTCACTCTCCTCACTGGAGAAATGAAATC